TAAATACAGCTATAGTATTCTTTGGGGGGTTATGGTATTACTGTATTGCTATAGTATATTATACAGTATATAGCAGTGGTGGGTAATCTTTTGGGGCTCTTGTGCCAAAAATTGTGTGCGCGTTTGCATGCTCTCACTTGTGTGCCAGCACCCGGAAGGCAATGCGCGGCCCCTACCACCCCCTATGCATATGCGTGCAATCCTCACCCACCCACCCCCGCCGCCCCCTTACCTGCACTGCGCCTCACAGCTGATTTTTAGCCGGTTTGAGGCCCTTTTTTCGGCCTCCCAGAGGCTTGAGGAAGGCTTCTGCAGGCCAAAAACTAGGCCCGTCTCATCACTTCTGGTATTTTCGGAAAAACAGGAAGTGATGAAATGTGACTAGTTTTCGGCCTGCAAAGCCTGCAGAAGCCTTCCTCAAGCCTTTGGGAGGCCAAAAAAGGCTTCACACCAGTAGAAAATCAGCTGTGAGGCGCACACATGCGCAGTGAGGTAACTGCCTGCCACTCACGTGCTGGCACAAATGGCTTTGCGTGCCACCTGTGGCACACGTGCCATTTAGGTTCGCCATCACGGGTATATAATAAATACTGGTAGTCCTCGACTTACAGCAGTGCATTTGGTGGTTGTTCGAAGCTACAGCGGCCCCGAAAAGAACTGACTTATGACTTTTTCCCACACTTATGACCGTTGCAGCCTCCTCATGGACATGTGGTCAAAATTCAGAGGCTTGGCAACTGACTTGTATTTATGATGGTTTGCGGTGTCCTGGAGTCACATGACGAACTTTCTTGCCACCGTTAAATGAATCACCTCAGTTGTTAAGTTAGTGACACGGCCGTTAAGTGAATCCGGCTTCCCCGTTGACTTTGCTCGTCAGAAGTCACTTTTTTTTGGTGCCGTTGTAACTTTGAGCGGTCCCTAAAGGAAAGGGTTGTAAGTCGAGGACCGCTTGCCTTCACAATCCTGCCGGGCATCGTATCACTAGACTGCAGATGTTTCTCTTCAAAAAAACGTCCTGCTGCAGATGTTTTTTCTGCAAAGAGAAACTTTCTCCTCCTCCCTCAAAATTATAACGTTGGCTAGTTCCAACATTATAAAATATTGAGTTCGACCTCAAAGAACAGAGCCTGCAATTAGAAGGTGGAAGTTTAGAAATGGCTGGGTTGATCCCTGTCCGTGGCCAACGTAGCGCGCACCACCCAAAACCAAGAATGGCAGATGGGTCAGTCAGACAGCTCCTCCCACCGTAGTTCTGTGCCTAGATCTGCCTCTCCTACAAAGAAGATGCTGAGATTCTGGAACATGTCGGAATACGTGTTGGAGTGTATCTTGGATTGCAGCAACTACAGAATCATTCACCCAGTAGGTGGCAGTCTTTAGTTTGCATCTATGGTTATAATCTATGGTTCTGTTCTAAGTAGAGTTTCCTGTTACAGTTAATACAGTTGAGCAGTAAAGCACATGGTGACTGTTCTCTTGGTTTGCTCTGCTACGTATAAACAGAATTTCGAACAGAAAGCGTGCAGAGAAGAGCAAGTAAGATGATTAGGGGGCTGCAGGAATTGGGTATGTCTAATGAAAGAAAAAGGACTCAGCGGGTGGGAAATGACACATGATAACAGAAGTGAGTTATGACCAATCCTCATACTTATGACTGTTGCAGCATCCCTAGCGTCATGGGATCAACATTTGGTTGCCAACTGACATGTAATCACGGCAGCTGCAGCCTCCTAAGGTCACAGGATCCCCATCCGAGACCCTCTCAGGTGGCTTCTGGCATGCAAAGTCAGTGGGGAAAGCTTTGATTTATTTAATGATGACGTGGTGCACTTAGCGACCGTAGCAATTTGCTCAACAATCATGAAAGCTGGGCACAGTTCAGTTCACAACCGCCTTGCTTAGCAGCAGGAAAATCTGTTCTGAACTGTGGTTCTAAATTGAAGATTACCTGTAATGGCCTAGGAGCTCGCTCACATACACACACACACACACACACGCACACACAAACACACGCATGCACGCGCGTGCACACACACACACTAAATGCATCCTTGCTTTTTCCTTATCCGTTCTTTCCTTCTGGGCGCTGGTTTGAGAGAAACCAAGTGAAGGGAGGATCGCAAAATCATACAATAATAATCATTATTATATCAAGTCACGAGAAGCTCAAAAGTGGGGAAAAAAAATATATGCACCCACTCAAAGAGAAGGCAGATTCCTGCGGTTCAAGCAATCTGTGAAAGAGCAGCGCTTGTTCATTTGTGCTTTAGGCTTTATACATGTTTAGCCTGGTTTTCATAAACAGGGTACACTAGCTAGCCGGTTTTTCTATGGAGCGTCCTATCCGTGCATCGGTTAATAGAAGTATTTTTAGTCATATAAGAATATTTGTAGCTCAGGGTAGATCTGTGGGCTCCTTGGTGCTCTCTGAGCTTGGCTGTTTTCTTGCAGACATTTCATGACCCAACTAGGTAACCTCATCAAGTGCTACAAGGGAGTGGGGTTTGGGGAGAGGAGGAGGAGGAGGAGGAGGAGGAGGAGGACGACGGCTGCGGGGTCCTTGGTGCTCTCTGAGCTTGGCTGTTTTCTTGCAGACGTTTCATGACCCAACTAGGTAACCTCATCAGTGCTACAAGGGAGTGGGGTTTGTGGAGAGGAGGAGGAGGAGGAGGAGGAGGAGGAGGAGGAGGAGGAGGAGGAGAACTGTGGGGTCGATGCTCTCTGAGATTGGATATTTTCTTGCAAACATTTCATGACCCAACTAGACAACATCATCAGTGCTTAAAGGAAGGGGGATCGGCTCATTTCTATACAAGTATCTTCCTTGTAGAAAGCAAACCCCCACTACCATTAAGCCCTGATGATATTACCTAGTTTGGTAAGGAAACGTCAGCAAGAAAACGAGCCACGAATGATGGCAAATATACGTGTCTCAGAATAATGTTACAGGATCCAATCCGGGTCGATCATTGGGACCAGAGGTTTAGTTTTCTGAGAAGACTATAAACCTCTGAATCTGGCGACCGACCTAGACTGGATCCTGCAGAAAACAACCAAGCTCAGAGAGCGCCAAGGACCTCCCCATTCATAAAATACATAAAGTTGGCCTCCACCCTGTTTCCAAGTATCGCCTTTCCGGCTGCGAGGATAATTTTCTGCACAATTTAAGGAGAAGTAAGCGTTTGGCAAGCAGGCACAGGAGTCTATTTATTTTTAAAAAGGAGAAGCTCCCAAAAAGGAAATACACCCAACGGTACATCTTTTTCAAAACCGGGTTCCTCTTTCCAGAGAAAGAGTGAGTGAGTGAGTGAGTGAGTGAGAGAGAGAGAGAGAGAGAGAGAGAGAAAGAGAAAGAGAGAGAGAGAGAGAGAGAAATATAAGAAACTAACTTTGCTAGGAAACTATGTGGTCGGTCTTAGTTTTTGGGAAGGAAAATAAAGGGGGAAAAAATTCTGCCTCTGCCTACCAGCATCCATCGGTATTCATCTGGCCAGCGTCCTGTCAGTGGTGTTAGATAGGGCCCGGGGTTCTAGTCTGGATCTTGAGCCTACCTTTTTGGGTGTTAGCTATTCCTACTTGGAAATCGAAAGTGCATTCCATATGTAGTTGTTCAGAGATAGTAACTAGGTGACTGAAGTTTCTGCCGTGCAAAATTCTAACTGGAGAGCATGATTGATGACTCTGGGCTATGGAGGTGTCCCATTGGAGAATACGAATTACGATACACCCAGGGAATGGGGGAAAACCAGGGTCAAGGGTGACAATGAATGACGTGCCTCAGAGTTAGCTCCACCCAGTTAGTGCTGGATAGTTTAACTCCCAATAAATCCTTTTGAACTTTTGGAAGTTTGGCTCGAGACTCAGGATTTAAAAAGGGGGAACTGCCGGAGCCCTGACAGTTAGGTTAATGACACAGCCATTAAGTGAACCTGTCTTCTCTATTTGCTTGTCGGAAGGTCGTAAAAGGGGATCATGTGACCCCAGGACTGTCATAAATACGAGTCATTTTCGCAGAGTGTCTGAATTTTGATCATGTGACCCACAGGGAGGCTGCAACGGTCGTTAAGTGTGGAAAACGGTCCTTTTCCCCCCCCCAGCACTGTTGCAACTCTGAAATGGTCACTAAATGGAACCATTGTAAGTCGAGGACTACCTGTCGTTAAAAGGAGCCTCTGTCTCGCGGGGACTTTGGGGATGTGTGGGGATAAGCAGCAGGGAGCAAACTGTCTTTCTGGACCGTTTAATGTCAGGAGTAGAAACGCAGCCATTTGTAAATTACGAAATACCCAAAAGGCACATTTTGCCCTGAGGGCTGAGAGGCATTTTAATTCCACGTTTTGCTTTTAAGAGACATCCACATGGGAAGCTCCTGGATGCATTCCCTGGCAAGGCATCGAAGGAGGAGGAAGGCTTCACCTCAAATCACCTACTACCCCTTCCAATGTAATGGGAGGTTGGAAACGGCAGGGTATTTTTAAGAATAATTTTGTCTGAGAATGCTGACTGTTTTATGCACGTTGCTGTCGTGCTGGATCAACCCACACCACAGTTACCCATCTGAGTAAGGGCGGGTGGGGGAGATATAAGAGGAGGGCAGAGAGAGAGAGGGAGGGATTGAGGAGGGAGAGAAGGAGAACAAAGGAGGGGAGGAGAGAAAGAAAGAACTTTGTATTTTAACCTTGGAAAGGAATAAAATTTCATATCGGAGAAGAGAGGGAAGGAGGGAGGGAGAGAGGGAGAGAGGGGGTGGAAAGAAAGAATGTACTTTAACTTTGGAAATAAATAAAAATTTATATCAGAGAAGAGAAGGGAGGAAGGAGGGAGAGAGGGAAGGAAAGAAAGAATTTTTTTAAAAAAACTTGGAAATAAATAAAATTCATATCAGAGAAAGAAAGAAAAAAGAGGGAGAGAGGGAGGGAGAGGGAGAAAGAAAGAACGTATTTTAACCTTGGAAATAAATAAAAATTAATATCAGAAGACAAGGAAGGAAGGAAGGAGGGAGGGAAGGAAGAAAGGAAAGAACGAACCTTGGAAATAAACAAAATTCTTACCAGAGAAAGAAAGAAAAAAGAAAAAGGGATAGAAAAAAGAAATAGAGAAAGGAAGGAAGGAAGGAAGGAAGGAAGGAAGGAAGGAAAAGAACATTGTGTTTTAATCTTGGAAATAAATAAAATTCATATTAGAAACAGAAAGACAGAAAGAAAGAGAGAGAGAGACAGAGAGAGAAAGCAGGAAAGAACATTTTATTTTAATCTTGGAAATAAAATAAAAATTCATAAGAAGTAAAAAGAAAAAAGGAAGGAAAGAAGAAAGAAAGAAAGAAAGAATTTTAACCTTGGAAATAAATAAAATTTATATCAGAGAAAGAAAAAAGAAAGAGAGACAGAGAGAAAGAAAGAAAGAAAGAAAGAAAAAAAGGAAGGAGGGAAGGAAGGAAGGAAAGAGAGAGAACATTGTGTTTCAACCTTGGAAATAAATAACATTCTTATCAGAGACAGAAAGAAAGAAAGAAAAAGACAGGAAGAAAGAAAGACAGACAGACAGTAAGAAAGAAGAGAGAGAAAACAGGAAAGAACATTTTGTTTTAATCTTGGAAATAAAATAAAATTCATAAGAAAGAAGAAGGAAGGAAGGAAAGAAAGAGAAAGAAAGAAAGAAAGAAAGAAAGAAAGAAAGAAAGAAAGAAAGAAAGAAAGAAAGAAAGAAAAGAAAGAAAGAGAACATTGTGTTTCAACCTTGGAAATAAATAACATTCTTATCAGAGACAGAAAGAAAGAAAGAAAAAGACAGGAAGAAAGAAA